ATATTTTTTTAAAATATGGGGCTCAAACCACGGTTGAGAATCACAAAACAAACATATGACATGACTAGTAGCTTCCACGGAAAAGACAGAGCTCGAGAAATACCGAAACAAATAAAATATTCAAACCAATCATCATGTTAAGGGTCCTGACCTCCACATGTCGGTTCCACGCTGGCACGTCATCGTTTGGGGTACAACTCCGTCCCGGGCCCACCTTCGACGCTGCCTCTCCAATTCTTTGGGTCTTGAACTCCCTCCGAGGAGCTAATACAAAAAGGTCGTATTTTTATAGCCGGTTCTTCTGCTCCGACTCGTCTGATGGGTCCAACCCGGCGGAAACTGGGTCCTTGGCCAAAGAGGTTGATGGGGCTGCGACTGAGTCTGAATCGAAGTCTTCGTCAGCTATTGTTCCCACTGTATTTAGACCTGAAGATTATTTAACGGTTAGTTTTATGAATCATAGTTATACATGCATTTAGAGTACTGTGGGTTTATGTATAATTGTTCAAAATTTTTGATCTTATAAGCAATCAAAAAATTGGGTAAATCTCGATTTTGCTTTTTGACAAACCAAGATTTGAAAATAAAATTTGCTGTTATGGTAACTCTTAAATCTTAATCTTTTTGTACGCTGGCAGCACTTTTGCAAAGGTAGCACTGAAAAAGTTCAAAATGGATTTTTTTGTTTCAAGCTGTCTTAACTAGTGGAGAATTTGGTCTGAGAAAATTTGGTGCAATTTATGTAAGAATGCATAAGCTTGTTAGTTTATGGTGTGCATATCAAATTCATGGTGAAGCTTTCTTTTACTTTTGTAAGTAATTCTTTCTTGATTTCTTCCATTTGCTTCCTCAGCATAGCCATTCAACCACATATTTGGGAAAAGAAACACAGGACGCCCAAATGATGAAATTAGATATTTTGGTTATATGGTTATGTAAAAATCAATGTGTTGGGTTGCGAGGATTGTCTTTCATTGTAAGATAGTATTTTCGGACGACAATGAAATTTACATCTACCTCTCACAGACAAAGGAAACTGAGGAAATGAATGTTCATGTTTTATTTGTGGTGATGGGAAGTGCAAAGCTTGTGGAGGAGGGGAGGAGCCTCATTAGTTGTTTGTTGAATATAAGGTTTTTCTGTTTCTTTCTTCCTTATTTATTGGGGTGGCAATGGGAAGGTGATATTGTTTGATGCCCAAGGGTTGGGGGAATAATTTGTAGTGAGGAGTTGGGATGATCATATATTTTGCAGGGTGGGAAATAATTTATTAATGCTGTCTTCACCTTGATATAATTATTTAACTAGGCGAGCATACAAGAACAGTGGACATTTTCTCTGGTTCTATTAGTTTTTAATTTATATGACTCAGATTCCAATGAAAAATGGGAGTTGATCCATTTTTACTGTTTGAAAGATACAATCTAACAATTAAGTATATCGTTCATAATCCCCCAAGCTGAATTTATGCAGAATTCCTTTAGTTTTTTCAGCTGAAACTGAGGACAGTTTACTGGTTATCATTGTGAAATTCAATCTTTCTGAGTATCTTCATTTGTACCAGATTTTCTGTTATTGCATAACGCTGTTACTTTTTAGAGAGGATGAGGATTATTAGATTATATTAAACAATTAGCTGGTATTTTGTTGTTCCATCTTATTTTTAGAATTTATAATAATCAAAATCTCTGTTACTTGAGCAGGTTATAGCATTACCCCTGCCACACAGGCCATTATTTCCTGGATTTTATATGCCCATATATGTGAAGGTATAGCTGCTTATGGCTGAGTAGATATTTTGTTTTTATTATCCTGGCATTTTATGTTGCCTCCCTGTGCCATTGCATGGATATATAACTTTATTGATAGACTGGAATTAGCTTCGCAAGGTAATTCTTGTAGGTATAAGTTCTGTCGGATATACTGATAATTTACTTAAAAAATAATTCCAGAGTACTTCAAGGGGCACATGGTGTGCATTCTGTAAGGAATCATGCTCTGGATTTTCGTTATTCAACTCTGAACATGCTTAATTGCTCAGTGTTGATTGGACTCTTCATTTTGTACCCATGTCGGACACATACGACAGGGGTATGGGTTCTTTCTTGGATCCTTTAAATCAAAAGAGGATTCTTTATATCGTTTTTGTTAGTTTGATATTTTATTTAAAATGATTTCTAATTTCTATTTCATATTTCTAGACCTGAAATGAAATTCAAGTGAAGTATCACAATTTGCAATTTAATTTATTATAGATTTACATTTGAAGACATAGCATTACACCTATCCAAGTACCGTCGTACCATGTCTAAACTCAAATGCATATGAATCATATGTATATAAATTTATAAAATAATTTAAAATTTTTAAGTTTATAAGACTTATCCACATACCCATATTTATATTTTTAATCCTTTTTAGCCTATCCCATATCCTATATTTTAGATAGAGAGAAAAAAGATGCAGCTCCTAGAAACATGGATTCAGAATTTAAGCAACATATCTATTTTTAAAATTTGTTTTCATGAATGGGTTGTCTGGTATAAGATAAAGGTAAAATTAATTCTACTCGTATTTTTGATAACTAGAGGGCTGATCTGCAAACCATTCCTATATATATATATAGGATCCAAAATTGTTAGCAGCTTTAGTGGAGAGTAGAAAACGGCAAGCTCCTTATGCTGGTGCTTTCCTACTTAAAGATTAGGCAGTATCTGAGGGTACAGATGAAAAAAAAATTTATGATCTCAAAGGAAAAGAGTTATTTAATCGCCTTCATGAAGTTGGTACGCTGGCGCAGGTAATTTTCTTACCTTTATTTTCATTAAGTTATTGTTTGAAGTTATTTATCTGTGGTAAGAAAAACCTTGAATTCATCAAGCTGGCTTGATGATCTCAGATTACAAGCATCCAAGGAGATCAGGTGATTCTTATTGGTTACAGGCGACTTCGAATGACTGAGATGGTTAGTAGGACTCTTTCTTCATTCATGAACTGGTAGATTTTAAAGTTCTGCCTCTTGTTTCTTCATATTCTTATCTCCTTTCTTACCTCACGAATATTGTAAATATACGCACTTGCAACCAGTAAGAAGATTTTTCCATGGTGTTGGTATATATTTGCATATTCATAGCTATATTCACCTTCATCTATGTTACAGATGCACAACTGAAATAATTATCCTGTGCAGGTTAGTGAGGATCCTCTTACGGTCAAGGTCGATCATCTCAAGGTGTGTGCAGTTTTCCATTTGGATGCTTTCGTAAATGCTCCAAATTTACATATTAACTTCTGAGGCTACACTTTCTTTACTTCTGTTCTTATGTCTTTCAGGAAAAGCGTTATGATAAGGATGACGATGTTCTTAAGGCAACATCATTTGAAGTTATATCAACTCTTAGAGATGTTTTGAAAACTAGTTCACTTTGGCGGGATCATGTACAAACTTACACTCAGGTATGATTTTTCCTGTTTCTAGTTTTTTGGCTTTTCTTTTTCTGTACGCAGAATAACATGGTCATACATTTTAATTTGTTTATGAATAAACACACTTTGTTTAAATTTGATATAAAAGGTCTATTTTAGTGACTGAATCACTTCTTTGAATTAAACCATTAGTGTACTAGGTCAATTCTGCAGCCTTTGTTTCTGAATTCGTCCAAACTATATTAAGAGGAATGGAGCAGTACAGATAGTTTTACACATCATGTCCCTAATCAATTGAGGTTTTTGACATTTATGCTTAAAAGCACTTGTATGCCCGAATGCACATAACTGATTAGCAACTATTTGTTTTCTTTCTTTTGCTGTTTATGAGGTCATATATGATACTAAGCATGTTTTGCAAAAAAAAGTTGCTATCTTATAAGCTGCACAAATTATGTAGACTTTTGGTCCACACAATTTGTGGTCCCTAGCTCATAAGATAACCCTTTTTTTGCCCAGCACGATCAAACTGCGTATGCTTTTTAAAGATAGGCTAGGATCATGCTTATGAAAGATTTCTGTTTTAAGATATTTGATTATCTCTAAAATTCAAATAAATATGCATTTTTCATAGTTTGGAAGAACAATGGTGTAACATCTCTTTTATCACCAGATTGTTGTACTTATACATGACGGTGGAATCTATTGCCTAAACTTGAACAAGACAACACTGCAGTTAAAGTTGGCAAAGCGTTTTTAATGGTTTTGTCTATATATAGTATCTATTCTACCTCCTAACTTTTTAATATCTGCAGCATATAGGTGATTTTAATTATCCAAGATTAGCAGATTTTGGAGCTGCAATATCAGGTGCAAACAAATCACAGTGCCAGCAAGTGCTTGAAGAACTAGATGTAAGTAGTCTGTAGCCTCATCCACATTTTTCTGAACATTGCGTTTCTATCTTTTCTAGGTTCCTGCATACAATTTCTACTTAGAAGACTAAAATTGTAACTTTCAGTCTTAGCATCACCCATCTGTGGGTTTCAGCATCTTGTAGTCTTATAAGAAATCGAAATTGCCAAGAGGATTGAATAATCTATTTTTTAAAGGATTTGGTATCAACTTAAGTGCATCCCTTTTCCCTTGATGAATTTACTAATTTGAAATGGTAGAAAGCTAGGAAACTTTGTACCTTACACAGGAAAGCTAGAATGAAATTTTGCTGTCATGGAATTACTTTTTATTTTCTCGAGTTGCTTGTTCAAGGTGCTTGGAGTAAAGATGTTTCATTCTAAGAATATCGATAATTGGACAAAAAGGACATTCATTTTGTCCCAACAATTTGGGCATGGAGCTGAGAGGTTGTTGCTTTTATAGCAATAAGACCGTATCACCCTGTCAAAGTTTCTACCTTTCATATTCTGTTGCTCATTACGATCTTGAAATTCAGGTTCATCGACGACTAAAACTTACTCTGGAGTTAGTGAAGAAAGAGATGGAGATCAGTAAGATCCAGGTATGGCTGTTTGGACTGGAGATCAATTCTAGAACTCTTAATTGCTGTTCCCTGTGTTTGATCTTCACCCCTTTTTGGCGGTATTTAGGAATCAATAGCGAAGGCGATTGAAGAAAAGATAAGTGGAGAGCAGCGACGCTACTTGTTGAATGAGCAGCTCAAGGCCATAAAGAAGGCATGGTTGCTTGAGTATAACAATTTGCATGCTTTGTACTATACATTTTCTAAGTGTTAAGGAAGACACTGTGATTGCTGTATGTCTGTATGAATAGTCGATGTAATGAGATGTTTTGAGAATTATCTGATTATGGATTTATTTGCCTTGTGCAGGAATTAGGAGTAGAGACTGATGACAAAACCGCGCTTTCTGGTTTGCCCTTTTCTGTATAATTTACAGTTGGCGTTCTGCCTTGTATCTCTTTTGATTTCTTGGTTATTTCAAGAACAGTGTGTAGTACTTACGTTTATTGTTTTGGTTAGGCAGAAACCTAAATCATTTGAGGGTCTGCTGAAGACTTATCAATACTTACTCGTGCTTTCTTGTTGGATGCTTTAAATAAAATCCGCCACGTGAGTAGTTTGTTTAAAACCGTGTTTGGAAAGTGTTTATAAACAGTTTTAATTATAAATAGATAGAAATGAAGATGGATAAATTGGTAGTCCTCGTAGGACCCTTGAAATGTACGGATACAAAGTGGGTTGAGTGTCCATGAGCCAAACATAGTCTAAAATGCCGTCTTGGTGGATTCCTCATGATTTACAATTGCTGGATACATTATATCAGGCCTGTTCTCCACTATTCTTTCCTATCTTCCTTTTAGAATCTATGGTGACTGGAAATATGTATATGTTTTAAGATCTATTTTTCTCAAACAAAGAACAGTTTCAGGTTTGAGGCCAAAATTGAAGAAAAGAGAACTTCATTTAGCATTTTTCCCTCTCTTTTTTTGAATCAAAGAAAGAGATTTTATTATAGGTGTCATGCAATGTTATACAAGAAATTCAATTGTGATAGTGCTTAAATACTTTTCCTTTGTCTGATCAAATAACTTAAAGAGGTTTGTTTTCTCCATAAGGACATACATGCTGTCGATACTGCATTTTTATTTTGTGTTTGAACTAATTTTAATTTTTGTTGTTCAGTTGTAGTTGTGTGTAATCCTTTTGTATTTTTATGGCAAATGTCATGTTAGTACTCAAGACCCTTTTTAATCTTAAAAAAGTGTTCTGCTGCATCCTTGTTAGCAAAATGATGATTTAACTGAAATTGGGTCATCTCAATCCCAATATGATGCATATTCTCTTCATATGGACCTTTTTGTCCTTTCCTTTGGACGATAGTATTGGTCGTTGTTTTTGGCATTTGTGCTAGTTTTTATTTGGTCTTGTGGCATTCACGTCAGCTTGCACCTTGTTAAAAAAATAATAAATAAATAAATAAAAATACATGCCCAATTATCCAATTTAAGAATCTATTCAGCGTCTAGGAAAAAATATGCCAGGCTGAAAAATGGTCCAGCTGATAAGAAGATATTTGGACACAGCTATATAATTTGATATGTTATCATCGAAGATAATAGCTGCTTTATGTGCAAGAAGACGGACACATGCTAAAAACGTCATGTTGCGTGATGGGTTAAATTTTGCCTCTAGTGAATATTGCTCTTTATGTCTGAGTTCATTGGGCATGCCAGTCAGGTCTAGTCCTCACTATCTTGCTGGAAACTTGGAGGATACCAGTGGGGTGATAGGAAAATATGGGGACTTAATCACGTTTCATTATGTTGGTAATTTAGTGAGGTCATAATAAAGGAATTTTCATTAAACGATTAAGAAATCTCTTGATTTCCTCCCTTTTATTTTTATTTTATCTTTCTCATTCAGTAGCAAAACTGAAATTCTTGAAAGACGAATAAAGTTAGTAGAACTGAAATTCTTGTTTCATTATGTCTTTCTCCCCCTTTTTTTTTTTTTGAGCTCTAAGAGTGCCTGATGTTGATATAGTCGATTACCCTGGCTTTACTACACTTACTTCACAAACAAGGATCTCATTTTGAATTGGTGAAAACTTGTTTGTTACATTGTTTTCTGGTACTGCAGCAAAGTTCAGGGAAAGGCTTTACCCAAAGAAAGAGAAAATCCCACCTCATGTTTTGCTAGTCATAGAAGAAGAATTAACAAAACTACAATTATTGGAAGCTAGTTCAAGTGAATTTAATGTGACACGTAATTATCTTGATTGGTTGACTGCATTGCCATGGGGTGAATACAGGTCTGTTGTCTATTATCATCTCATGGACAGTCTTATCTTAATCTTTTGGCACCTTTCTTCCATGCCTCTTCTGTTTTATCTAAAATTTTGAAACACTTTTGAATCCATTGATGCACTCTCATTAAGTTTATGAAGCTAAGCGATTGCTGTTATTGGTGAGATATATAGTTGAGAAACTAGATAATGTATGTGAAATCCTTAAAATAGTGACTGACTGTCATCTTGATGGCACCAATCTTTCCCCCAAATGCTATTTTACTTGAATGCAAATAGTTTCCCTTGTAATTTATCTAACACCATTAATACCATGCTTAATTGGCTGCAACCTGGAAGATCCTGAAGCTTTATCATGAAGAACAATTTTATCCCCTGAACTGTGAAAAGCTGAATGATGATCTCGAAAAGCTCTTGTATTTCTCTGCTGTGGAACAACCTAGTGCTGTATATTTTTCTATAAAATAAAGAAAAGGGGAAACAGGTCTGGTCACAGGTACAGAAAATGTGGAACCATGAGAAGTGTAGAGGAGAAAGTAGAAGAAAAGAAGAGAAGAAAATGCTTTACCTTTGCAAGGGTTTAAGCAAATTCACATGAAAAATACTAATCAACTATCAATTCAATTAGAAGCATTATAATGCTTTATATAGACTTGAGAAATCCTAGACTACTAGGACCTTAAAACGCTTTTGTGGGAACTTGTTGATCACCTGCAGAGCTAGTCTTTATATTAAAAAATAATGACTTAATCCTTCAAGAATATAACCTAAAATTTCTGTAAATTACAAATATACCCGATTCAGAAGTGTACTTGATAGAAAAATCTGGTGGTAACTGTTTTAGAGACTGAAAGAACTTGATGATAGTTGTTCTAGGATATTAAATATCTTCAGAGAGGCTGTATGCTTTTCAAAACTCTCCCTTTAAACTTGATTCCCCTGGAGTCTCTTGCTGCCTTAAGCATTTTTAGTCCAAATGCACCGTGTGCATGCCATCACCACTGGCAAGTATAGCATCTCACCGACTACTGCAGAAAATCTGTGTTCAGTAGTTGATGATGCAGGAAAAGACAATACCCTCTCTGAAGCAGCAACAAATAACTACCATAATTTTTATGACAGGTGACAATGCAGCAATAGGCATAATGTGTGTTTCGTTGTTTTCAACACCACACACAAACAAGAGAAATGCCTAGTGGGACTACTGGATATGTGTCAGGGTTGTAGTGGATTGATAATGAGCTGAGCCAAACATCCTTGAATACATAGCAATCCAGCATAGGTATGTTCAAAGGAGCTTAGCCAAACATCCTCGAATCCAAGCAATCCAGCATAGCTAGGTAGAGTCCATTCATCCAGTAGAAAGAAAATGATGAACAATAATGTTATAGGTGCTTACCTTTCCGATCACAAATTGGGCAAGAAGACAGATGTTTTTATGAAGAATTCTCTTTCAGCGAGGCATTACTGGAAGTGATCAAGTATGTTATTAGGACTGGCCATGGACTATTTCATTAGATTTGGGAGGAAGAGTCCAAAGAATGACAGATTTCATGTTTTGAACAGCAAACCTAACCAGTTAAGCTGACTTTCTTTTCCAGAAGACATATGGTTCCTTCATTCTCTTGAGCCTTTCCCCAACCATTAAAGCTAGTTGATAGGATACTTTCCATGCCTGATGCTTTCATCTTGGACTTCTAGCCTCAAGCCCTAATAAGCATTACCCTTCGTGGGCCGAGTATTTAATCTTCAACTGCAGGAACTTTTTAATGCCTACAATATCCCACATTAGAATATAACTAGTTCTGTCCATCATTTCTAAAAAAAATGCATCATACAGAATTATTTCCTTTTTGGGCCTGCAGCATTTTCTGCAGGATATTCTGCACCCTTCAAGATAAATTTATAAGCAACACAGAACAAAATGCAGACGAACTACACATCATTTGAACTGTTATGTTGTATGAAGCGCCTATTGTTTTAAGCCTCTTCAAACAGCTATGCTAAGATTTTTCTCAATTATTGAGGCATTGAATACTGCTTATGGTTGTTTTCAGGTTGTAAACTGGTAGTGTTTCTCTATGTGGGTTTTAAGTTACTGAGGATGGTACATTAATTTGACTTGAAGTTTTTGTTTGAACTTTTTTCATGTATAAAATTGTCCGATTCATAATTTTTGATGTTTGCTGGTGTTTTTGTCTTCATAACTGAGTGGAGGTTTCTCATTTAAATTGCTGGTGATGGTACTCTGATAACTGCTTTATCATTTCTATTTCTTCGATTATGCAGTGATGAGAACTTTGATGTAATACGGGCACAAAAGATTCTCGATGAAGACCATTATGGATTAACTGACGTCAAAGAAAGGATATTGGAGTTTATAGCTGTGGGGAAACTGAGAGGAACCTCACAAGGTTGGCATTTCCTTTCTTCCTTTTTATTTTCTGGAATAAAGTTGGCACTCTTATTTGTATGGTTTTTCCATTTGGTTTCTGAAATCATATACTTTTATCATATCCATGTGTGCTATTGTAAGCAGAAAAGATATGCCCTTTTTTGCTTGTCCATGACATTGAGCCCTTGTTTGATATCCTTTATCATAAACCAATGTTTTCTACAGCAACTGTGGACCCAGATGTCATGGTGTGTAATCATATCACTTCAAATCAATTTGTTTCTTCCAAATCTACCATCCAAATCAATTTATATTATTAAATTAGACTTGTGTCATTCAGGATAGCAATGGAAAATCAAATTCTCAACGGGTGTTTGCTTGAAAATGAGAAAAAGAATGTCAGATGGGTCGGTAATATTTAATTAATATAGCGCTGTAGAAAAAAATTAAAAACGCTTTAAAATGCCAAAATAAAGGTTGTCAAACAAGTGCTGAATGTGTATGATGTGTGAGCCTATGCACACACTTAAATGCCTTGATATGTCTACTAGAACAATGTATGTTGTGTCAATATAAGTGACTCAGAGTCTTAGACCATCTGTATGATAATTTCAAATTACTTTTTGTTTCGTGTTAACCCTTCTTTGTTATTGATATTTGGGCATCATTGTGAATCCAGCTTTCTGGACCCTAAGCTAACATAGTGAAAACTACTTCTGATGCATTCACGTTTCCTGAAATCTGTACGGCTATTCTGTATAATTGTCCTATTACCATTCGGTTTGGTCTTGTTTGTGCCAAGTTAGGAAGCAGCAGCTAATATTAATGACAGTTTTCTTACTTTCTTTGCTATGGTATATTATTCAGTCCAAAACTTGTCATGGATCTAGCAGAGAGCTGGTCACTGTTGCATTATCCTGTGGGTTGAACAATTCTGATGTCATTGGCTATGGCACTTGTATTTCAAATAATGCTCTCTCCCACCCCCACTCCCTCTTGCATTTTACATTATATGTTTCTTTTCCTCTTTTGACTGCGCTAGACTAGTGCAGCACACTCTTCAATAAAGAAACCAGCAATATAGAGCATTGAAGCCCTCTATTTTTTTTTTATTTTTTTATTTTTTGAATTAATTACAGGTAAAATCATATGCCTCTCTGGGCCTCCAGGAGTAGGAAAAACTAGTATTGGTCATTCAATTGCCCGGGCCTTGAACCGTAAGTTCTACCGGTTTTCAGTTGGTGGTTTGTCCGATGTTGCTGAAATTAAGGTAGGCAGTGAACCTCAAAATGCTTGAGATAATCATGCAACTATATGATTTGATATTATATGTTCATCTATTTGTTATTCACTCCGACATTCACATCAGGGGCATCGTCAAACATATATTGGTGCCATGCCGGGGAAGATGGTGCAATGTTTGAAAAGTGTGGGAACTGCTAACACTCTAGTTCTGATTGATGAGATAGACAAGGTATTCACGACTTGTTTTTGTTTTTATCTACTGCTAGAATTTGCTGTTATTTATTGTATACGAAGTATTTTTTTTTCTTTCTATATCTTTTTAATATATTTGGCATTTGGCAGTTGGGAAGTGGACACGCAGGAGATCCAGCAAGTGCAATGCTGGAACTTCTCGATCCAGAGCAGAATGCAAACTTTCTAGACCACTACCTTGATGTCCCAATTGATTTATCAAAGGTAAGTAGGCTGCAAGCTTCTTGATTTCTAGATCATGATATATCATTAGGGTCAGGCTTACATTTTCTAAGGTGACCTTTTCCTACATTAATTGACTTGGATTTTTAATTGAATTTGTAATTATAAATGTTCACTCTTTAGAACATATGAACTTATTTATATGTTATGAGTGATACAAGAAGTCCAGACCCCTGAGTTTATGAGTATATTGTGTTTCTGAAACTTGTCCCCCATGAATGATCATAACAAGCTGTTTTCGGCAACGGAATCGGCCAATGCAAGACAAATTTAGACTACACGGGATCACTTGGCAGGGTGGTTTAGGAGGTCTTTTTGAGCGTGTTATTTCTTAGTCACCATGGTGTTTAAGTATTGGGACCTACTTCAGCTGTATTCTTTCTTCTTCAGTAAGCGGGAAAATAGTTGCAGAACTGCATGTCATTTTTTTTTGGCTACATAGAAATGCATGTCAATGAACAGAATGATATGTCGAAATGTTCTATGCTTTGTACAATGTCATTTTTTTTCTTGAGAAACTTCAAGCTACAAAAGATTAATCTTTCTATATCATTTTTGTCTTATCTACAATAGTATGCAGTTATCTTGCATTTGTTCCTTTTTGATTGGGGATGTCATACTTAGCATTTACTGATGCATGTGTTATTAAACATTTTGAATTATGCATCTTCATTTATCCCCTTTAACCTGATTACCGATGTTTTCATACTAGTAATATTTATGATTGCCAGGATATATGTACAATCCACGGGCCCGCTGACTTGATTGGAGAGGATCAATGTAAATTGTGGTACTTTCCATTGATTTGAAAAGAACGGGAATTACAAATTTATAGGACTGGAAATTACAACATATGGAACAAATAGGGTACTGCTATACAAAGATTCTAAGGGCTAAAAAGCTAGAAATGGATATATGATTGCCTAGATTATTTACATAAATGATTCCTAAGAATCATTAAATGAGGGGAAAAAACAGAATTTTAAAATGAGAAGATTATATTTTAAGCCCTTGTTTGAGCCCCATTCTTCTCAAAATTCATTTTTTCAAAACTCATTTTCAACTACATTCTTTAATAAAATAATATTACACGCAAACCCAACACTTTTCCTTAATTTTTAACCATATTTTCTCCATCAATCACTTTTTAAAAATGCATTCTTTCCATTAAAATAGGGCTCAAACAAGGGCTAACACTGAAATTTGGGGTTTTTTCCAACATAAATTAAGGCTCGTTATAAATTTCTGATATATTTGTTGTTAAAGACTATCGTGCCACGTTACTGGAAGTTCTCATTGATAATTATGATGATGTGGTATAATTGTGCACAAGATCTCAAATGTTTGTAGTTTGTGAAGCTCGTTTAGCTATTACTTCGTTGTTAACTATTTTTGTTTATGCTGGAATATAGATTTTCCTAAATTGGCTAACCTGCTAGATGTGGCATGAATTCTTTTAAAATTTTGCACAGGTTTTATTTGTTTGTACTGCAAATGTAGTTGAAATGATACCGAACCCACTCTTGGATAGAATGGAAGTAATTTCAATTGCTGGTTATATTACTGATGAGAAGATGCACATTGCAAAAGATTATTTGGGGAAAGCTACTCGTGAAGCTTGTGGTATCAAGCCTGAACAGGTCTCTCTCTCTCCCCACTCCTGCACATCTCCAACTTTAAGACACTATCTCCTACTTTCATAGAGACATGCTTTTTCTGAAAAGAAATAGTAACACACTAATGTGAAAATGGCTAAATAGTGGTTGCACTTGAAGAGCTTATAATTTCTGAGGACTTGGGCATTCTTTTGAACGTTTTATAGGATTTTGATTTGTGACTAAGTTAGAGAATTTTGATGCTTGGGAATTCTATTTTGCTCCTTAGCTGATGAATTTGAGGTTGCAAATTATTTGTACTACCACCAGTTTTTTGCTTATTAAACAAGCGGATTGATTGGTACAAGAATTTTCACAATACGAGCTGCAATATTTTACTGCCTACACACAATTTCCAGTCTTGTTAATCAGAACTAGAGTGCAAATGAATTGTGATCTAAACTGCCAATTTTGGCTATTTGGCAACTTTGCAGATAAATATATTGTAATTGCCATATAACTTCAATTTGCCGTGCAATAATATAAACGTTTCTCTATTGGAGATAGCTTGATTTATTTCCAACTTTGCCAGGTTGAGGTGACCGATGCAGCCCGTCTTGCTTTAATTGAAAATTACTGCAGAGAAGCTGGAGTCCGGAATCTTCAAAAGCAAATAGAGGAGATATACCGAAAGGTATTTGCTGTAACTAGTGATTCCTTTTCTGAGTTTCAAGTGTTTCATGTTTCATATAGTTCAATTCTCAAGTCCCTCACTTGATTAACATGAATTTCCCCATTTGGGAACCATTTGAATCTACCACCATTTCACTAATAATACTGTTCTTGGATTGCTGGGCAGATTGCTCTACAATTTGTGCGAGGAGAAGCACACATTGAACCTACTGTTACTGGGGTTCATATTCAACATGATGAGGTGAAGGCAGAATCTGATCTATCTAATGAAACCATGATTGAAGGAGTAGGGGCCGGTTCAGTTGATGGCAGCACTGATGGAAAGGATTCTGAAACTGAAGTGGAAGCTGAAATAGTGGTGGTGGATTCCCCAGCTGACCAAATTCCATCTTGTAATCAATCCAGTACTTTGGAGGTATGTAGAAAAGATTTTTTTTTTATTTATTTATTTTTTTTTACCTTAAATGATAGTAATTCATCCGCTCTTAGATGTTATAATCCTCCCTAAACTTCATACTGTATAAACTGAAATAAAGTCCAAACCTTGTTGAACTGACTACGTATGATAAATATGTTTTGGTAGTGTAATTAACTTCTGTACTACCATTTATTCTCTCTCTAATTTGGATCTGAGATCCCCTCTCTAATAAAGCACGTGATCTTTATCTGCATCATATTGGTTTGAAGAGTGATTTTTTTCTTTTTTCTTTTTTTAAAAAAAAAATTAAATTTGGATTCTTCCTACCAGGACACTTCCGAAGCTGGAAAAATTCAGGAAAGTGAAGAAACCAGCACAGAGAAAAAGGTCTTGGTCGATGCATCTAACCTTGTCGATTTTGTTGGCAAGCCTGTTTTCCATGCTGAGCGCTTATATGATCAAACACCAGTTGGAGTTGTAATGGGTCTTGCTTGGACTGCAGCGGGTGGCTCTACGCTTTATGTAGAGACCTCTGACATTGAGCAAGGAGAAGGCAAGGGGTGCCTTAATCTTACAGGACAACTCGGAGATGTGATGAAGGAAAGTGCACAGATTGCTCACACCGTTGCCCGGGCCATATTGCAGGATCCAGGCAACCTCTTCTTTACCAATTTAAAGCTTCATCTTCATGTTCCTGCTGGTGCCACCCCGAAGGACGGTCCAAGTGCTGGTTGCACAATGATAACATCCTTGCTATCTCTTGCCATGAATAAGCCTGTTAAGAAGGACCTAGCGATGACTGGAGAAGTCACGCTAACTAGAAAAATTCTTCCCATTGGTGGGGTAGGTGAAAGCAAACTCAAAGTTCTCTCAGAATGTTGTTACTTTTGCATATTCTGCTGTCATATTTATTGCTATGATCATTCATTGTGCATATATCCCCTAAAATTATTTCACTGAAAGTCTTCTGAGATTACCATCACAAATTGTGCTTCATCTTTTACTGTCTTGAATCTCTTCGAAATTCTCTTGGTGTAAAATCAGGTTAAGGAATAGACAATTGCTGCAAGGCGAAATGACGTGAAGACCATCATCTTCCCCTCAGCTAACCGGAGAGATTTTGATGAGCTAGCATCGAATGTGAAGGAAGGCCACGAGGTACATTTTGTAGATGATTACAGTCAAATATTTGATTTGGCTTTTGACTATAGCCAGAAGATAGAATAAAATATACATTCTTGCTGAGTAATCTTCGACTGGAAGTCTTTTCAAGGCTGGAAAACGGGACGTTTCTTCATTCCCATTCTTTTGAACAATATCTGCAGAGAATGTCACGTGTATACTGTAAGTTATGCCCGGACGAGCCACTGTTGCTCATTTAATCTTAGGTATATTTCGGTATGAAGCTAAGTTCATGTACGGTTTTGATATAGGGGTAAAGTTCATGTATGATTTTGGTACGAGGTGAAATTCATGAACTATTCGCCCATTTAACCAACCACCCTATTTTTGACATTATCTTACAAAAGAAATTAACTTCAGTAGAGAAGAGTTGTAGAGACCTCTGACATTGAGCAAGGAGAAGGCAAGGGGTGCCTTAATCTTACAGGACAACTCGGAGATGTGATGAAGGAAAGTGCACAGATTGCTCACACCGTTGCCCGGGCCATATTGCAGGATCCAGGCAACCTCTTCTTTACCAATTTAAAGCTTCATCTTCATGTTCCTGCTGGTGCCACCCCGAAGGACGGTCCAAGTGCTGGTTGCACAATGATAACATCCTTGCTATCTCTTGCCATGAATAAGCCTGTTAAGAAGGACCTAGCGATGACTGGAGAAGTCACGCTAACTAGAAAAATTCTTCCCATTGGTGGGGTAGGTGAAAGCAAACTCAAAGTTCTCTCAGAATGTTGTTACTTTTGCATATTCTGCTGTCATATTTATTGCTATGATCATTCATTGTGCATATATCCCCTAAAATTATTTCACTGAAAGTCTTCTGAGATTACCATCACAAATTGTGCTTCATCTTTTACTGTCTTGAATCTCTTCGAAATTCTCTTGGTGTAAAATCAGGTTAAGGAATAGACAATTGCTGCAAGGCGAAATGACGTGAAGACCATCATCTTCCCCTCAGCTAACCGGAGAGATTTTGATGAGCTAGCATCGAATGTGAAGGAAGGCCACGAGGTACATTTTGTAGATGATTACAGTCAAATATTTGATTTGGCTTTTGACTATAGCCAGAAGATAGAATAAAATATACATTCTTGCTGAGTAATCTTCGACTGGAAGTCTTTTCAAGGCTGGAAAACGGGACGTTTCTTCATTCCCATTCTTTTGAACAATATCTGCAGAGAATGTCACGTGTATACTGTAAGTTATGCCCGGACGAGCCACTGTTGCTCATTTAATCTTAGGTATATTTCGGTATGAAGCTAAGTTCATGTACGGTTTTGATATAGGGGTAAAGTTCATGTATGATTTTGGTACGAGGTGAAATTCATGAACTATTCGCCCATTTAACCAACCACCCTATTTTTGACATTATCTTACAAAAGAAATTAACTTCAGTAGAGAAGAGTTTAATGATAATTCAAATGATAAACGATTTGTTTGAAAGCTGCATTAATTTTATTAGGTTATTAGCTCGTTTGATTAGAATATTTGTCATATTTAAATTTTTAAATGGCAAAGAATATTATGTGTAACTTTGTTTTGTATTGTCAGGAATTTCTTTATCTTTTGTAAGTTAATTGAAATCTGCATGTTCAATTTATATGAGACCCATTTTTATTTATTTATTTATTTTTTGGGTAATTATATTCACACAACAATTTTTTACATTTATATCATATTTTAATTTTAAAAAAGTTATCTATATTTGTTTACTTTTACTTTTATGTTTTCAACTTTTTTTTCTCGTTCTATTGTCATTCTTAACCTCAATTAATTAACGAAATTTATTCTTAACCTCAATTAATTAACGAAATTTATTTCTAATCACGATTTTCATCCAAATATTCTACTAATGTGCATTAAAAGGATGGACAAATATTTTGTTTTTAACTTTTGTATTAGTTATTTATTTCGCTTATTTAAAAATACTATTTGGCACTCATAAACATTTTGTACAAAAATCATCTTTATAGATAAGATGTGAAAATTAATAGAGGGTTGATGAAAAAAATTTTAAAAAAATAAAATAAAAAATTGAGCATATAAGTATAAAAATAAGAAAAGTTTAGGGAAATTTATTTTAATTAAAATGTGTTGTGGTTAATAAAAATAGTAGTGTGAATATACCTAAACACCCCCGCCCCTATCGTATTTGCACTAAGAAAACATGGAGAAATGTTGAAAATTCATTTTTTTCAAGAATTTGAAACATTCTCTATCTTTAAATAATGGTAAGAGCTTATATTAAGAATAAAGTTTAAACAAAAATTTATCTCTAGCTCTAATTAAATTAATTCTTGCTTAAATGATAAGATCATTTGTCATATTTAGGAGGTTTATGAAGTTCTTGTTTGGTCTTCATTTCTTAAAATTCATTTTTTTTCTGAACTCATTTTCATTCACAAATTTTATAAGAATCACAAATTTTTTTAAATGAATGATTTCAGTAGAATTTAATGAAATTTTAATAATTTTTATAGATTCTTATAGAATCAATGAAATTCTTTTAGATGTGTATATAGGTTTTCATTAAAAGACTTTTACAGACTTTCATTTAAAAATAAAAAATCTCAATGAAATTCTTTTATAGATGTACATAGACTTTCATTAAAAGATTTACTGCGTAGACTTTCATTTAAAAAAAAAATTGTATAAAATGTTATATTTTATATAATTTATTGTATATCCTTATTTTGTTGAAATATTTCTTTATGGACTACAATTTAATAAAATTCTGAATCGTTAGTTGCTTAATCAAATTAATCAAGACTATAAAAAATAAAACTCACCTCAAATAAATTATCAAAATACAATTTTATTTTTTTTAATATCATATCAATACTCTTAATTGGAAGTTGATCTTTTTAGTAGGAAATTGGAGGAAACAATATAAAAGAAGGGACCTTGTTGTGAGTACACAATGGTGTACACACGGCTTTACACCCTCCTTACATGGAGGGGGGTTCACATGTAATAAAATATTCGTGAGCCCCTCTCCATGTGAGGGGGGGTGTAAAGTCGTGTGTACACCTCATTTTCCTAAAAGAAGAGATATAAAGATCAAGAAATTTTATTAAAAATTTTCTTTACTAGAAGAAAAGAAAAAATGATGGAAAATTAGTGAGAACGTTAACAAGAGAATAACAATTATAATAACAAGTAGAAGAGAGAAGTACATTGATTTTTTGTATATCTCTAGATTCGTAGAACAAAACACGAAAGAGAAATATTACAACTTAAAAAATATTTATTTTTTTCTTTCTTTTTTTGGTGCAAGTTTTTTTAAAATTTTTGTGGGTGAAGGAGAGGCTTTTTTATGAGAATAATTTATATTTTTTTTACTTAAAAGTTAATATGTGCAATTTTTTTTAAAGCATTAAAAATTAATCATTGACATTTTGAGATCAACTTATTTTTCTTAAACTTTTAAAAAGTCTAGATTCAATATCCCAAAACTTTTTAAAAAAATTATGAACACTATATTGGAAGCCCAAAACTTTTATATAAATCTTAATATGTCTTTATTGAATACATCTCGACTTTTTTTATTTATAAAAGATTAAATGTCTAGGTTCAATACAACCCTTTGATTTCCTAACTAAAGTATTAGATTATTAATTTATTATTACGTGTTAGTCAATTTTCGTATATTCTGGAATTGGTTTGTCTTTTTTTTTTTTTAGTTGTTAAATTAAAATCAATACCCTCAATTTGTATGTGACTGATTTTCCTGTCACGATTCCACCAACAAAATGGGGACAAAAGTTAGAAATTTCGTTGTTTCAAGAATTTGAAACAATCCCTATCTTTAAACCAAAGAAAATTTAATTTTAATTACTTCTTGATTTGTATGTGTTGTCACAATTCTACCAATAAAATTTGGATAATGTAGAATTGGAAAAATAATTTTTTCTATTAATAGAATATAGTAAATAAGTATAATTAGGACTTCATGGCAATAGGATATTGTGTGATACTGCATAATTATAAGAAGATTGTTTGTGCGTAGATATATACCCCTCCTTTGGGATGAATAAAATTGATTGTATTGAAACCCTAAGATCGTTGTATTGTTTGTCTTCTTGCTATCAGAGCATTAAAAAAAAAAAAAAAAAAAAAAAAAAAAAAAAATTCTGAATTCTTTAACAATTTTCAATGGCTGAGGAGACAATGAACACGGCACAAGATCTTGAATCATCCATCACCACTACACTACCTTCAAAAATCGTCCATCACCATTACACCACCCAAGATAACTCAACGTTCTCGATGAGCATTGCCTTAAATGAATCCAACTACACCTTATGGGCTCCTCTCATGCGCATGCGGATTGGATCACGGGGAAAGGTTGGATACTTGACTGGAGCAAAGAAGGAACCTGATATGCATTCTGCAGAATATGAAGCTTGGGCCACAGATAATGAAAAGGTGAAAAGTTGGCTGATCGACTCCATGGAACCTTCGCTTATGAATAGGTATATTCGCCTTCCTACTGCAAGGGATATTTAGGAAGCTGTTGAAAAAACCTTTTATGATGACTCCGATGAAACCCGAATTTTTGAATTGAACAAGAAGTGTTTCGAAGCAAAACAAAGTGGACGACCGATTCCTACCTATTACAATGAATTGATGGCCATGTTCCAAGAAATTGATCAGAGAGTAGCCTCACGGAATGATAACGTTGCAGCTGTAATTCAAGAAACTTCAGCAATGTCACGGATGCGTGTTCACATGTTCTTGAGTGGATTCGACTCTAAGTATGACCAGGTGCGTGGAGAAATACTACGAAAAGAACCTAAACTCTCCTTAGAACAAAGCTATGCTTACATTCGTAAAGTCCAATCAGAGAGACAGGCTATGGGACGCTCAGAATCAACCGAATCCTAGGTTATGGCTGTCCTACGACATCAGGATTCTTCTCCAGGGTTCGCAGGAGCTGCATCCTGTCGGTCCTCAAACAAATCCAATCCATATGCAAACCAAAAGTGTAGCCACTGTGGAGAGTTGGGTCATAGCAAGGAGCGGTGCTATGAATTGATTGGTTATCCTGAGTGGTGGGACTTCACCAAGAAACCACGAAAAAAGTTGGGCAAGACCGCAGCTGCGAAAGATGAAGGGCGCTCAGCCTCTGCTAGTGTAGCATAGTCAGGTATGAAGAATGGAATTACTCTGAATGATACATGGATAATTGATATAGGTGCAAGTGACCATATGACCAGTGATCCCAAGCTTGTGACATAATTCAAACAATCCTCTCAATATAGTGTCTCTACTGCGATGGTACCCTAACTTCGATCATCGGAGAAGGTTCAGTTGCCCTGTCTAAAGACCTCACACTTGAGTCTGTCTTAGTTGTTCCTTCATTGGCTTATAATCTCCTATCTGTGGGTCAAATTACTCTTGCTCTCGCATGTACTGTGACCTTTTATCCTTTATTTTCTGTATTTCAGGACATCCTGACACGACGGATTCTTGGTTATGGTGTTAGAAGGGGAAAATTATACTACCTGGATCTGACAAAATTTGGAGAGGAACGGAAGAACTTTTTGGGACAAGTTAATCAGAACCCGAATTTTTGAATTGAACAAGAAGTGTTTCGAAGCAAAACAAAGTGGACGACCGATTCCTACCTATTACAATGAATTGATGGCCATGTTCCAAGAAATTGATCAGAGAGTAGCCTCACGGAATGATAACGTTGCAGCTGTAATTCAAGAAACTTCAGCAATGTCACGGATGCGTGTTCACATGTTCTTGAGTGGACTCGACTCTGAGTATGACCAGGTGCGTGGAGAAATACTACGAAAAGAACCTAAACTCTCCTTAGAACAAAGCTATGCTTACATTCGTAAAGTCCAATCAGAGAGACAGGCTATGGGACGCTCAGAATCAACCGAATCCTCGTTATGGCTGTCCTACGACATCAGGATTCTTCTCCAGGGTTCGCAGGAGCTGCATCCTGTCGGTCCTCAAACAAATCCAATCCATATGCAAACCAAAAGTGTAGCCACTGTGGAGAGTTGGGTCATAGCAAGGAGCGGTGCTATGAATTGATTGGTTATCCTCAGTGGTGGGACTTCACCAAGAAACCACGAAAAAAGTTGGGCAAGACTGCAACTGCTAAAGATGAAGGGTGCTCAGCCTCTGCTAATGTAGCACAGTCAGGTATGAAGAATGGAATTACTTTGAATAATACATGGATAATTGACACAGGTGCAAGTGACCATATGACCAATGATCCCAAGCTTGTGGCAGAATTCAAACAATCCTCTCAAAATAGTGTCTCTACTGTCGATGGTACCCCAACTCCGGTCACCGAAGAAGGTTCAGTTGCCCTGTCTAAAGACCTCACACTTGAGTCTGTCTTAGTTGTTCCTTCATTGACTTATAATCTCCTATCTGTGGGTCAAATTACTCTTGCTCTCGCATGTACTGTGACCTTT